CAGGCTCCATTCACCAGGAGCCTGACGTGGGATTCGATCCTGGGTCTCCAGGATCGCGCCCTGGGCCAAAGGCAGGCGCTAAACGGCTGCACCACCCAGGGATCCCTCCACTCTAATCTTTATTCTTTTCTCTGTTCTTCCTTCTACTAGTTTTAGGTTTTGTTCATTATTCTTTTTCTGGCTCCTTTAGGTATAAATGTAAGTTGTTTATGCAAGATGTTTCTACTTCTTGAATTAGGCCTGTATTGCTATACACTTCCCTCTTAGAACCACTTTTACTTACATCCTAAAAGCCTTGAACCCTAGTGTTTTCATTTTCATTTGTGTCCCTGGATGTTTTTATTTCTTGTTTTATTTCTTGGTTGACCCATTCATTGTTAGTAACATGTTATTTAACCTCCATGTATTTGTGCTCTTTATAGATTTGTTCTTGTGACTGACTTCTAATTTCATGGCATTGGGCCAGAAAAATACAAGACATGACTTTTATTTTCTTGCATTTGTTGAGGCTTGTTTTATGGCTTAATGTGTGATCCTATTCTGGAGAATATTCCATGTGCACTTGAAAATAATGTATATTCTATTTTAGGATGGAATGTCCTAAATATATCTGTCAAAGCTATTTAGTCCAGTGTGTCATTCAAAGCCATTGTTTCCTTGTTGATTTTATGTTTAGATGATATGTCCATTGTCATAAGTGTCATGTTAAAGGCCCCTACTATTAGCACATTGTTATTGTTTTGTGTTTGTTATTAGCTGCTTTATGTACTTGGGTGCTCCCAAGTTGGGTGCATATTTACAATTGTTAAATCTGCTTATTGGATTGTCCCCATAATTATTTAGTGTCCTTATTTGTCTATTGTTACATTCTTTGTTTTAAAGTTTATTTTGTCTGATATAAGTATCACTACTCCACCTTTCTTTTCACATTCATTCGCATGATAAATCTTTCTCCATCCTCTCACTTTCAATCTGGAGATGTCTTTAGGTCTGAGTCTCTTGTAGGCGCCATATAGATGAGTCTTGTTTTTTTTTATCCATTCTGTCACCCTATAGCTTTTGATTTGAGCATTTCATCCATTTACATTCAAAATAGTTATTAATGTTTATTGCCATATTATTACTTGTTTTGTGGTTAAAGATTTTTCTCTGATCCTTTCTTTTCTTTCTTGCTTTCGTGGTTTGCTGGCTTTCTTTAGTGATTTATTTGGATTTATTTCTCTTTTTTCTTTGCATATTTGTTAGTGGCTTTTGACTTGTGGTTACCATTAGGTTTATATATAACATCTCCTGCATATAGAAGTCTACATTAAGTTTATGGTTAAGTTTCAATCCATTCTTTATTCCTTTCCTCCTCAAATTTTAGATACATGGTGTCATATCATACAACCTTTTATTTTGTGAGTTTCTTGACTGATTTTTTTTACGGAAATATTCATTTTTTACTGCATTTGTGTTTCATACTTTTATACTGCCACTTTTGATCTTTCCTTTCCACCCAAGGAGTCCCTTTTAATATTTCACGCAAGGTTAGTTTAGTGGTCATGAACTACTTTAGTTTTTGTTTGTCTGGAAAACTCTTTATCTCTCCTTCTATTTTGAATAATAGCCTTGCTGGATAGAGTATTCTTGGCTGCAGATTTTTCCCATTTAGCACTTTGAATATATCATGCCACTCCTTTCTGACTTAGAAAGTTTCTGCTGAAAAATCCACTGATAGCCTTATGAGGGGTTACTTTGTATGTAACTGTCTTCTTTGTCTTATTGTTTTAATATTGTTTATTTTATAAAATTTTTTATATTTTTATTTTTTAAAGATCTTATTTATTTATTTGAGACAGACAGATAGAGGGAGAGAGAGAGAGATTACGAGTGGGGAGAGGGACAGAAAGACAAGCAGACTCCCCACTGAGCATGGAATCCAATGCGGGGCTCAATCTCAGGATAATGAGATCATGACCTGAGCTGAAGTCAAATGCTTAACCAATTTAGCCAACCAGGTGCCTTTAATATTTTTTCTTTATCCCTATGTTTTGTCATTTTAATTATGGTATATTTTGGTATGGATATGCTTTTGTTGATTTTATTGGGGATAATCTTTGTCTCTTGGCTCTAGATATGTTTCCTTCTCCAGATTAGGGAAATTTTCAGCTATTATTTTTCAAATAAATTGTCTGCCCCCCTTGCTCTCTCTTCTTCTGGTTCTCCTTTAATACAAATGTTATTACATTTGATGGAGTCACTGAGGTCCCTAAGTCTATTCTTGTTTTGCATAATTCTCTTTTTAATGCAATCGCTATCAAAATCCCTATGATGTTTTTTGCAGAATAGAAAAATTTATCCCAAAATGCATATAGAATTTCAAGGGATCACAAATAGAGCAAAAAATCTTGAGACAGTTGGAGATAGTATACTTTCTGATTTTAAGACTTACTACAAAGCAGTAATAATCAAAACAGTGTGGTACTAGCCTAAAGATAGACATATAGACAAATAGAATAGAATGGAGAGTCTAGAAATAAACCATCCCATATATGGTAAAATTATTTTTGACAAGAGTACCAATACTGTTCAGCAGAAAAGGCAGTCTTTCCAACAAATGGTACTGGGAAAAGGATATTCACAATGCTGAAGAATGAAGTTGGGACTTTAACTTCCACCATAATCAAAAATCAACTCAAATGCATTAAAGATCTAAATATAAAAGCTAACACTGTATAAACTCTTAGAAGAAAACATGGGAGGAAAGTTTCATTATATTAGATTTGGCAATGATTTCTTAGATATAACACCAAAGGTATAGTCAACAAATGATAAAATTGATAAATTAGATTTCATGAAAATTAAAAACTTTTGTGCATGAAAGGATACTATCAAGAGGGTAAAAGGCCACTCAGATTGAGAGAACATATTTTCAAATCATGTATTTGGTAAGAGATTAATATTTAGAATAAAAGAATTCCTATGATACAACAGCAACAAAAAACAGCACAATTCAAAAATGAGCAAGGACTTGAATAGCCTTCCTCCAAATAAACCATACAAATGACAAATAAAGCACATAAAAAGATGCTCAACATCATTAATGATTTGGGTAATGCAAATCAAAATCATAATGAAATACTTTTATACCCACTAAAATGGCTACTATTTAAAAACTCAGAAAACAAGTTTTGGTAAGGATGTGGAGAAATTGGAACTCTTGGACATTGCTGTGGGAATGTAAAATGGTACAGAGGCTGTGGAAAACAGTATGGCAGTTTCTCAGAACATTAAATACAAAATTACCATTTGATCTACCAAATCCACTTCCAGTTATATATCCAAAAGAATTGAAAGCAAGAACTTAAACATATACTTCTAGACCGATGTTCATTTCAACATTATTCACAATAGCCAAAAAGTGGAAACTATTCAGTTGTCCTCAACAGATAAATAAAAGATGGCATATATATCCATGGAATAATATTTGGCCTTAAAAGTAATGAAATTCTGACACATACCACAACATAGATGAACCTGAGGATGTTATGCTAAGTGAAATGAGCCGATCACAAAATGTCAAATGCTATATGATACCATATATGGGAGGTATCTAGAATAGTTAAATTCATAGAAGCCAAAAGTTAGCTAGTGATTACCAGGAGACTGGGAAGACAGAAATGTGAACTTGTTTAATGGATACAGTTTGAGTTTCATTTTGGGATGATGAAAAATTGCTAGAGATAGAGAGTGGTGGTTGCACAACAATGCGAATATGCTGAATTCTGCTGAGTTGTACACTTGAAAATAGTTAAAATTATATATTTTATGTTATGTATATTCTACTGTAATAAAAATATGTAAGTATTTCAAGTGGAAGGAAAATAGAATTGGATAGTTTCTGCATTTTATATATTAATGGACAGTCAGTCAATAGCGACAAAGAGATATTGGGGCCTCTCCTAGTCAGATTATTTCAAGGGTTTCCACTCATTCACATTTGATCAGACACTTCCCTGACTGATCAACTGGGTCAAGAGTGGGCACATACGCAGTCCAGCAGGGGACAAGTGGGCACAAAAAAAGTTGTCAGGGGATAAACTTATATTGCCTGAAATGAGAAGGATTCCACTCAAATAACAATGTTGAGTAGGGAAGCCACACTTCCAAGCAAAGTGATACTTGGAAGAACATTCCAGAGTTGATATATCAGTTATGGGACAGTCATGGAAACAGAAACCACTGAAGATATTTTTTAAGATTTATTTTTCTTTATTTGAGAGAGAGAGAGATGGTGGTGGGGAGGGGCAGAGGGAGAGAAGCAGACTCCCTGCTGAGCATGGAGCCTGACATGGGGCACAATCTCATGATCAGGGCTTGAGCTGAAACCAGGAGTCGGGTGCTCAACCAACTGTACCATCCATGCACCCCAGAAACTACTTTAGATTTTTAAACATAATCCATTTGTACTGGTGATAGAAGACCTGAGACCAAAAGCAGGGGCGCATGAAGGAACCCAGGGATAACTGCATGAAGCAGCATCTAAAGCAGGAGAAACAAATGATGGGAAGCCCAGAGGCCTGCGCCTCATTGCAGAAGATAATGCCACACAGGGCCTGTCCTATGAGATTTGGAAAAATTGGGGGTGGGAGGGAATGAGCAAACTTCCAGATACCACCTGAATCATACAAGAAGTGAGGGAAGCCCCACATTGTCCCTTCCCCACTCACATTTCTCATCTAGTGCCTCCTGTATTGACTAAACCCAGCGGAAAGCCAACAGAAGGGAGAAATGGTATATGGTGCTGCAGGTGCCATCTCCACTGCAGGAAAGAGCCCCAGGAGAAGGAATAGGACAGATCTCAGAGCAAACAGGAGAAGACCAGCATGATGTCCACCCCCAGAAATTGGTATTGGAGAGACAGAGAGAAATATCTATGAGAAAAAAAGGCTAAGAAAAACTCATGAGCTCATTTTTTCAAAAAAGATTTTATTTACTTATTTGTGAGAGAGAAACAAGCAAGAGAGGGGCAGAGAGGGAGAGGCAGACTTCCTGCTGAGCAGGGAGCCCAATGCGGGACTGGATCACAGGACCCTGGGATCATGACCTGAGCCAAAGGCTAACCAACTGAGCCACCCAAGCGCCCTTCATGAGCTCATTTTTAACAAGTGTATTCACTTCTGATAATCACTCAAATCTAAGATGGAAAGCCACTTTGAGTGATTAAGGCCAGAAAACTTATGCACGAGGGTCACTCTGGGATTCTGGATCTAGAGCTACAAAACCCAAGCCCTGCTTTGGAAGCATATTATGCTTGGCTTCTGTAACGCAGTTATCAGGAACCTTGCATCAGGCTATTAATGTAATCCTGCTACTTGGGAACCTGTTTGTGGTTTGATTTTATCAGCTCCAAGAACACATTTTCAGACTTAAGTGTTTACTTTTTTGACTAAGCATAATAGGAGAGATATTTATTACCCGTTGAAACAATAAACAGATGTTATCCGTATTTATTCATGCAACCATTCATCTCTGTATTTATTCTTTCAATCACCGTTCACCCTGGGTTTTACTGTGCTTTAACATTATTGATTTGGTCCTTAGGACTCAATAATATTTCCTGAAGAAACAAGCAATTATATTTTCAGGCAATATGAATTGGGTTGAAGCTAAACTTAAAGATAGAATATTGGTTTCTATTCTAATCACTATCCAGAAAATAAATATATATGTGTATATATGTGTGTGTATGTATATGTGTGTGTGTGTGTATATACATTCACAGCATGTGTTGCTAAGTAACTAAATAACATTATGCAAGGTTCCTATAGAGTGTAAGCTGCATGAGGACAAGATCTAATTTTCCTCCCTTCACAGAATCCAAAACAATGGCCAGTAGGGAGGGAATAGGCGTTTAGTAAACTGCAAATTATTAAAATTAAGTATTCTTTAATGAGTATTAGAATACATGTGTGAATAAATGGTTAACTACTGTTTCTTTATAAAATAAAGCCTTTTTCTTTATTTTTAAGTGATCAATGCATGGCTAATTTTTATTGAAAAGACACAAGAACAGTATTTCAAAGAGGTATATGAAGTCCCATATTAATTGCAGTCTTATTCACAATAGCCAAGATACAGAAACAACCTAAATGACTTCAGTGGATGAATAGATTTTAAAAAGACGTGGTATATATTCACAATGGAATATTAATCAGCCATGATAAAAGAGGATATCTTGTCATTTGCCACAACATGGATAGACCTTGAGCATATGATGCTAAGTGAGATAAGTCATACAGAGAAAGCCAAGTACTGTATGCTTTCACTTATATGGGGAATCTAAAAGAGCAAGCTTTCTTTAGTTTTGTTCTTCAGTTTAGAGTGTCTCTATACCCAAGTTGTCTCTGAGGCATTAGAACACCTGTTTGATTCAAGCTTTCAATGAGAACAGATATTTCTATAGAATAGTTTGCCTTTCCATGAAACCATACCATTTATCAGCCACATATTTGTTATTGTGTGTTTCTTTCTTTAAAAGGCGAAGCCATTCTTCCTTCTGAACATTTGAAGCCACAGCCTGATGGATCAGTTTAAAATCTCTAGTGGAGATGTGGTGATAGCCTCACAGAGACAAAGAGATTGTAATACACAAGGTCACAGAGTGGGAGACATCATGTGCTCCTATTTTCATAGGGAGACTGTAATGTCTTTCTGGTGTCTGGGCATCACTATGAACTTGCATCCTGACTATAAGAGTCCTCAAAATGTTTAAGCATTCCTATTTCCCCAGACATAGGTACCAAGAAAATGGCCAGAAATACTCCAGAAGGAGAAATGGGAAAGCCACAATCATCCATCCCTATCCTAGAGTTGCCTGATTTTTCACCTTGGAAGTCTGCCCTCCACTGGAGGGCAGATTTGATTTGTGGTCTGAAATTGGTTCAGATCAAGGCTAGGGATAGTGACATTGCTACCTCTCAGCCTTCTGTTAAACATCCTTGATTCCATTTGATTATTATCTCCCCATACATTTTGACTCTATAGATGTCCTGTTCTATTCACCTTCTTCAAAATTTTCTCTGATCATCCCCACCTGGCTGTCACTCCAACCATGTTATGGATTGAATGTTTGTGTTCTCCCAAAATTCACTTGATGAAATCCTAAGCCCCAATGTCCCAGTGTGAACATTTGAAGTAGAGCTTTTGGGAGGCAATTGGGTAATAAGGGTGGGGCTCTCCTGAAATCTGATTAGTGCCCTTCTAAACAAAGAGTCATGGGAGCACTCTCTCCTCTTCCATCATGTGAGGACACAGCATAAATGGAGCCATCTAAAAGCAGGAAGAGGGCCCTTACTAAGAACCCAACAATGTTGGCCTACTGATATTCAACCTACAGCCTCCAGAACTGTGAGAAATAAACATTTGTTGTCTAAGCCACCCTGCCTCTGATAATTTGTTATAGACCTGATCTAGGACAAACCATGATGCTTGTTACTATTTTATGTACTTAGTTTCTGATGTTTAAGTGCCAACACCTGGCCTCTATGCATCAGGGTTTATCTTCTCTAATACTATCAATGGCACATTGTCCCTTCTGCTCTTGCCTACAGCAAAGAGGCCACTGCGGCACTTTAAGAAATGATAGGGTCCCTCTCACCAGTGCATATTCTTAATGTTTGGTAATCTGCTTCTAACACCTTGAAAGGAAGGTGTAATTCAAATATAGGAAGTAGAGGCTACTCTAGCAGAGATTTAAAAGGGTAACATGAAAGTTTATACCTTAATTTTGAAGTAAATGTAAGATATTAAAAACCAAAGCCAGGGGCACCTGGGTGGCTCAATGGTTGAGCATCTACCTTTGGCTCGGTTTGGATCCCAGGACCCCGGGATCAAGTCCCACATCAAGCTCTTTGCACAGAGCCTGCTTCTCCCTCTGCCTACATCTCTGGCTCTCTATGTGTGTCTCTCATGAATAAATAAATCTTTAAAAAACAAACAAGGCCAAAATTAGAACAAGATTAAGATGTAAATGTTATGCATCCCTAGTACTCTGATCTTAGTCTTAGACCCCTCATTTAGCACGCTGATGTCGTTTCTAGAAATAGTGATTTTATCATCACATAGCCAATTTCACATTCCTTTTATGAATATTATTATATATTAGTATTATACTCTATATTTTCTGTTATTTTTTTATAAAATGGCAATTCAAGATTTCTTTATGAAAGTCAAAAGATAAGAGTATATAATGAAGGCCTGTGTTCCTTCCATCCCTGATGCTATTCAGTTCTTAGGAGGAACCAATGATACTAGTTTCTAACAAATTTTCCAGAGATATCCTAGTATACATAGGTATGCTTGCACGTAATAATTCATTTACAGTGAACACATTTTACACACTGCTTTATACTTTATTTCTTTACTCAAGATTTTTCTGTGTTTCTACAAATAGAGCTCCACTGCAGTTTATTTCCTGGCTACATAGTATTCCAGTGTAGGCACATGTTCAATTTATATTACCAATTTATATAGCTAGATATTTAAGTAATATAATTAAGCAATCTTTTGTCATTTAAAGTGATACCTCAGTGGATTTTATATATATTTACAATTTTGCACATGTATGTTTCCTTAACAACATGCTATATCAAAGTGTACATGCATTTATTCTATCTAATGTGGGCCAAGCATTGATATCCTTTTGTAGACACTTTTTATATTTAAAACTTTGCTGAATAAAAGTGAAAAGCATACACGCCAAAAATAGGCCAGAGTATATATATCTACATTTTTAAATTTCTTTAAAAGAAGAGTTAATTCTTTTTAAATAGTGAGCTCACACCTTTTATAATATTACCAATAATTCTACCAGGAGAAGTAAATATTGAAGCAATCTCACTACCAAATCTCTCCAAGACTTGTAAAAATAAGGGAGTATTTTCAGTAGTTTCAATCCTATATTTCAACTGCCTTATCTCCTCATTCATCTCTTCAGATTTCTTTCTAAATCCTTCATTGAGCAGATCTCGTTGGACCTAAAGAAAAAGTGAGAAATAAAAGTTTTTAAATTATCATTTTTTTCAAGAATTGCACTTCATATATAAAAACTTGGTCAAGCTGTTTTTGTTTTACTCTTAAAATTGTTCTTTCTTACTCCATCTAGAAAGGAGAATTTTGCAGTGAGGCATATCGCTTGGCTTGGACCTAAACACTGAAGGAAGCATAGTTTAAAGCCTTACTAAGGGCAGCCCTGGTGGCCCAGCGGTTTAGCACCACCTTCAGCCCAGGGTGTGATCCTAGAGACCTGGAAACCTGGAGACCTGGGATCAAGTCACACGTTGGGCTCCCTGCATGGAGCCTGCTTCTCCCTCTGCCTGTGTCTTTGCCTCTTTTTCTCTGTGTCTGTCATAAATAATTTAAAAATCTTAAAAAAAATAAAAATAAAAATAAAGCCTTACTAATATTCACACACCGTTAAGGTTTTTCTAGAATGCTAAGCCTGACATGAGGACAAATGTAACACTTTTCAGTGAAAATAAAAAATTAAAAATAAATGAAAGCCAGTTGGAAGATAGCTTTGGTCTGATCACACTCAGTCCCACTTGGGTTGGTACAGTCACCCAAATAGTAGAAATAATGGGAACTTATAAGCTCTTCCAGAAATCTGTTATAAACCTGTCTTGATGGACAATGAGGGAATTCCTTCCTATGCCATTTGATAACCTGAGTAAACTACCCACACCTGGAAACAAGATAGCACATTTAGGAACTGTCACTTCCTTGTGTTTTTGAGTCTCTACATTTCTGATAGTTTTATGTCAGCACAGATCAACTTCAGGGTGTTTGGGTAGCAGCAGGGTTTCTGATAATTGTCAGTGATCTTGGTAAAGCAAACCAGTTGCTGCTCATATTAAATACATATGGTTGGGATACCTGTTTAATCAAGCCTCATAAGATCATTTTAAAATCCCCAAAATAGGATCCCTGGGTGGCTCAGCGGTTTAGTGCCTGCCTTCAGCCCAGGGTGTGATGCTGGAGTCCCGGGATCGAGTCCCACGTTGGGCTCCCTGCATGGAGCCTGCTTCTCCCTCTGCCTGTGTCTCTGCCCCTCTCTTTCTCTATGTCTATAATGAATAAATGAAATATTTTTTAAAAAAATAAAATAAAATCCCCCAAATAGCAACTCAAATGGTATTTATATTCTCCAAGGGCTTAGAGGTGCCATACTCATCCTGAACACTCTAGAGTCTACATATAGAGTGGAATCCAAAGCCTTCTTTAGAAAAGGGGCAGAGAGGAGCAAGAAAAGGAAGAGGAAAAGGAGAGGAGGGAGAAGGGAAGAGGAAGAAGAAAAAGAAGGAGGAGGAGAATTAGAATTATTATTCAAAAGATTCAGGGTTTTAATAAATTACAGGCACGTAAGGTGCTTCCTTCCATGAGCTCACTGTAACCGTCACCCATCCTTTCCTGAGGTATCAGGAGAAGGACCATCAAGCACTACCACGGTCATGGCCAAACTTACCTTCAGCTTATGGTCCAACATCATATTCTGTTCTTTTATTATGTTTTCTCTCTCCCTCTCCAGCTTCTTTTCCAGTTGAGCTATGTTTTCCTGGAGACTCCTCTGTTGTGCCTCTATCTGCTGTTCCTGTTCTAGTAGTTTCTGTTTTAGCAGGTTTTGTTCCCTCTCAGCTGCCTCCTTACTGGCCCGCTCAGCTGCCCCAAGGAAAAGTTCAGAGGGAAGAAAATTAAATGAGAATTGATCCCAACCCTCCAGAGCTCAGAAACAAAACCAAATTGGAAGGGAATGTGGAAAATCTCTACATTCCTTGTGTCCACACCATTGGGAGCACATTTCAGAATATTATGGGAAAGGCCTGTCTGGCTGACAAACAATCACAACTCCTCTTGTTGTTTTTCCAATTTAGTACAGTTGTTCCACGGAAGGAGATGATGATGCTCCTTGTCTCAGGAAGGTTTTGCCCTCACACCTGACAGAGGGACCTACCCATTGTGAGCCACACCTAGCCCCATACCTGCTATGGCCTTCTCCCCATCAGAGAGGGCTTTATCTGCCTGCCAGATAGATTCCTCTATTGAAGCCTGTGACAGCAGAAAGCTCTGGAGGACCTCATTTGCCTGAGGAATCAAGAAAGAGCAAACAACTTAGATTTCCACTATGGAGGTTAGTGCTACAAAAACAAGTATATCCATGTAAGTTTTGCTTCATGCTTAAAATTCTACAGTGGCTCCCTACAAGGTCTCCAAGCTCTTTAGTGTGACTAGAGGGTCTCCATATCTCCTGCTTCCTGTCTACCCCTCCAGGCTCTCCCCTCAGTGCTATTTCCTTCTACCCACCCAAGGTTCTAGCCAGTCAGAACTATGTTCAGTTCTATAAATCCACAATCTTCTCCATGGGAAATGTTACCCCTAATTTGTGCTATTGTTCTTCTCTGTTATTTGCTCTCTTTAACTTTAGGCAAGTTATTTTAACCTATCTGTGCCTCTCAGTTCAGATCTATATAATGTTGACAATAAATAGAGACATTTCTTAATGTTGTTTGAAGGATTAAGCTTAAGAGTCTAGGGAAACAGCTTTACATCATGCCTATAGGAAATGGCAGTCTAATATATATTAGTTGTATTATTATTTAATTATTATTAAGTCTGTTACCATAATCTATTTAGCCCATTTTCTTTTATTTATTTCTTTATTATTATACTTTTCAAATTTGAGTATATTGATGCACAATGTTATATTAGGTTGGGGGCATACAACATAGTGGTTCTTTAAGTTTATACTTTATGCTCTATTCACCACAAGTGTAGCTACCGTCTCCTTACATCACTATCACAGTATTGTTGATTGTATTCCTCATGCTGTGCCTTTCATTCTCATGACTTACTCCATAACTGGAAGCCTGTATCTCCCACTCCCCTTCATTCATTTTTCCCAGCCCCCAGCCCCTCTTCTCTGGCAACCATCAATTTGCTCTATATCTCTAGGTTTGATTCTGCTTTTTGTTTATTCACTTGTGGGTGTTTTTTTAAGATTTCACTTATGAGTGAAGTGATATGGTATTTGTCTTTCTCAGTCTGACTTATTTCACTTAGTGTAATATCCTTTAGGTCCATCTGTGTTGTCTCATATTGCATGATCTCATCCTTTTAATGGTTGCATAATACTGCATCATATGGAGCCCATATTCACAGGTTCATATGTGCTATAGCTTTGTATATAACTATCTGTGTATCTGACTTCATCTCTTACTTTTAATCATACTTAAGTACAAGGCTTCTTATTTAACTTGTAAGTTGTCAGCACTCGGTATATTCAAAGTTGTGTTGTTGGATGAAATGAGTAGTTTCTCTTCTGTCTCTTGTGGATTTCAGAAATCCATACTCTTTTTGGGAATAGGCATTTTCACTCTCCTCAGGAGTAAATAGCAAATAGTGGATCTTAAAAGCTAAAGCTGTCATGATATCCCCATGTGTGTGCGTCTTATCATCCACAACTGGTGCATTGCTCTCAGATTATCTGGAGACCCCATTGATGCTATTCTGTAGGCTCCCCCATGCTCCCCTTTTACTCACCTTCACTCCTTTCCTGGGTACTTGTGAATAGTCACATTCAATACTTTCCTTTGCTTGCCTGTAGAGTTTGTGCCCTCCAGGAGCAGAGAAAGTTCCTGCTGAAATACTTTCCATTAGGGGCTTTGAAATCTGATCGAGGATAGACCGGCAGTATTTAACTGATGCCTCTTCATTCTGCTGCAAGAAATGCTCCTTCTTATCCTTTATTAGTTCCTACAAGGGAAAAATATATTTATTAGGATATCACCACAAGAAAGGAACAGAAAGAATAAGATTCAAAAGAATCTGGTAGAAGGATTGGTCTAACTGTGGTCCTCATGAGAAAAGCATTCTGTTGGAGAAGGACATGGAATAAAACAGGCATCGCAAGACTTTATTTACTCATAACCTTGAATACTCTCTGCAAGACTACAGGAAAGTTTCTTAACTTCCCTGGTTCTCCTGAAATGTTGGAGTTGTATTACCTATGGTTCACTGAATGCAACTGTAGCATTCAGTGATTTTATCTTCAATGATACAGTGATAAAACAAAGAGCAATGTAAGTTAAAAATGGCCTAGAATGAGGGTCTGATAAAAGAAAATTTGATTTTCTTGACAATGAAAATTTGATTTTCTTTGATTCCCACTTGACAATGGGAATGTGTTCCCAAAAAGCATCCATGGTCAGAAATGATTTTGGGGTGTTCTGGGCAGGCTTAGAATTCATAGAAGTATTAAAAGATCAAGAGCATATCTATATTTATTTTGCTTCAGAGATCAGAGAGATTTCTAGGTAAAGTGCCTCAGGTTTGGGAGGGAGAGAAAAAAAGAAGGAAATGTAGTCCTTTGAATCTCTTTTTCTCATGAGAATCCAGATTTCTTTATCCTTGAGTAAGAGATGAGCCATGGTATCAATAAAGGTACTTCTAGGTTTCATTCTTTAAAGGGAAGGGTCTTGAAGAGTAAACTCTAAGACAAATTACCACAAGAGTCTTCTGGAATGTCTGATTTTCATCTTTGAACGAATGATCCATGAACACTGCAATGGCTTCCCTCTCACAGTCTGCATGCACATCCAGCAGCTCCTGGAGCGTGTCTGTGGGGAGCTTCAGTCGCTGGGCCATCTGCTCACTATAGTGGCTGGCTGCCTTCTGCACAGCCTCAGAATTCTCAAGCTGGGCTAGAGTTGTCACTGCATTCTCCAAACAAGGAACTGCTCCAGTATTGATGGTATCCACATAGGTCACCACCAGAGTCCTCAGCCCTAAATGAGCCAGGATATTAAGGGACAAATACCAAATTTATCCATAGGATACCAGATTCTGAGACTACATTTCTGAAATCAAATGCACACACACACACCCATCCCCCTATCCACACTCCTCTACCCCACCCCCCCACCACCACACACCACCCTGCCTCCTCTATCTTCACATTTGTTTTCCTATTGACTCTTAATTTTTATGGTTCTCCAGGCCAGATGGCTAAAAAAATTTTAAATGTACCTTTATCTAATATATTAAAGATTATCTGGAAAAGATAATTTCCCATTAAAAAATTAAAAGCAAAATAGATTATGTAGGTAGACAGATGAAGCAAGATAAATCAGATTATATCTATTCTCATTTTTGAAGCTCCCAATGGATTTTAACTGATTCATGGGCTACTATTTATTTTTGGACTGCTCTAAACTCCCAAAATGGTTTTCTTTATTTTTTTTTTTTTTATCTATTTGTTTTGCAAATAACACTTATCAGATAGGACTTTGCTTGGGGGGAAAAAAAACGGCAGTATATTCTGTTTGTATACCCAGTTAGTGATTTTTTTTTTTTTTTATCAGTAGAGGATCTTTTTCAGATAAGTAGATGCCACAGATATCAGTGACAAAGTGTATGGTTTTGGAGGGGGATTTATAAACCCTCCCAAAGTGAGATAATTATAAAACATATACATCTCTTCGTGGAGTATGAATGTGTATATACATAGAATTCCATATAGAATAAAGCAAAAATGCTGAAAAATACATTATATAATATACTTGACATATATTAGGCCCCACCAAAATGGGAAAAGAAGACTCACGATTCCCGGTGACCATAACTCCCTCTCTGAGAGTCTTGATCCTTGCGTGGGTGAAGATGTAAGAACAAAAATTGTTTGATTGTGTCAGGAAATTGGGATCCAGTTCATTTTCAGGTATATTCTCAATATTGGCTAGAAGTTTTGTGTCATTTGTTGGTCGGTCAAAGACAAAACACTTCCGTTTTGGAAAGAAATGCCTGATGCACTCTCTCGGTTTATTGGATGCTTGGATTCTGGAATTTTCGCCTGAGGGATAAGAATAACAGATTACTGTAGGAATAGTATTGAGGCAAGGAAGCTAAAGGTTTTTATGACAGAGATTTGTATTCTTTGCTGTCTTCTATGCTTATAACACCTTTAACATAAACATTCGATACTCCTTATGAAGCAAACTCATGCCAATGGTAGCATTCTGGAGAGAAATTTGGGGAGACATGTGATTCAGGTAAAGGATCCTATTGCTAGTAACTCCAGACCTGAAAATGGTGGTATAGCTGTCCATTAGATGTTTTCTGAATGAGTGGCTAAAAGAATGAAAGGTCAAATGGAACTTTTTGGTCTCATGTAGAAAGTGAGCTATGGGACCAAGGAGAGCCACGGTCAAGAGATAATGGAGTCATATTAGGAACAACAGTACTAAGCATATAACTCTGGTCATTTAAGGAAAACTGCATGATGCCAAAAATAACTTGTACAATGTTAGCTATTTTGCTTCGCAAAAACCTCAGAAAAGTAAATGTAACTAAAATGTAATTTTAGGATGTCACCACTACTCTACAGCCCTGGAGGTAAAGGACTGTCCTTGTTTTAACAGCACTGATCTTCTGCTAGTTTCTCACTAAATGTATAAGTAGAAAAATGAAAGCAGGCTCCTGGCTGGCTCAGTCACTTAGGCATCTGCTTTTAGCTCAGGTCATGATCCCAGGGTCCTGGGATCAAGCCCCGCATCAGGCTCCCTGCTCAGCAGAGAGTCTGCTTCTCCCTCTATGCCTCCTTGCTGCTTGTGTTCTCTCTCTCTTTCAAATTAAAAAAAAAAAAAATCTTAAAAAAAAATGAAAGCAAGAATGAATAAATTAGAATTGATCTTTTTCTCAAGGTTTAATGAGATATACACCATTTGAAATGTACATTAGAAATGTAATAATAAATTAAAATAATTTATTATTTCAAAATTATAGTAAGGATAAATATGGGGGAATTGAGAGAAAACTATGATATAGAAAATAAAATGAATGTTCTGATAATTATAAATATTAAAAACATAAATTCAGGTTTATTTAAAATACACAGTCATTTGTATGTTATATTTATATGCCCATATATAAGGACATATTCCTTATGTCAGGCATAAGGAAATTATATCCTTCTTTGAGAAAATTAATATATGTGCAAAATAAATTTATTAAAATATATGTGTGTATATATATATATAGTAATATATTGATTTTCCTTGTAATTTCATGCCTTACAAGTATCTGGTCAGGTGTTTTCTTCAACACAGAAAAACAGAAGCCAAAATAAAGAACATGTGTCTGGTCTTTGGAAAGTTTAAGCACACATTGTAACCCAGTAGCTAAATTAGCCTATGTTTAAAAAACAAATTGGTTTTGAATAATTTTACCCTAGCCTAGGCTCTGCATTTTTTTTAAGATTTTATTTATTTATTCATGAGAGACATAGAGAGAAGGCAGAGACATAGGCAGAGGGAGAAGCAGGCTCCAGTAGAGAGCCCGATGTGGGACTTGATCTATGTGGGACTTGATCTATGTGGGACTTGATCCCGGAGTTCCGGGATCACTCCCTGAGCTGGAGGCAGATGCTCAACCGCTGAGCCACCTAGGCACCCCCTAGACTCTGCATTTCTTTTTTTTTTTTTTTAATTTTTATTTATTTTATGATAGTCACACAGAGAGAGAGAAAGAGGCAGAGACATAGGCAGAGGGAGAAGCAGGCTCCATGCACCGGGAGCCCGACGTGGGATTCGATCCGGGGTCTCCAGAATCGCGCCCTGGGCCAAAGGCAGGCGCCAAACCACTGCGCCACCCAGGGATCCCCCCTTTTTTTTTTTAATTTTTATTTATTTTATGATAGTCACACAGAGAGAGAGAAAGAGGCAGAGACATAGGCAGAGGGAGAAGACTCTGCATTTCTTAAGTGAACTTAAACTCCAGTCCCTAGAGCTTTTCAACCTACCTTCATGTCATTTCTACAGACTTCAATCTAGTCTCGAATATAAATGCAATCCCAAGGATAATGGACTGTGTTTAGTAGCTTCCACCCACTGTTGGATCATCCACTGCCCAGGCCATACTCTGATACCTGAAATCAGCTTCAAAGCATTCTCCAGATACTCATCTTCTGTGATAGGATGATCATTTAACCTCAGCTCCAGTGTGAAATCCCGCACAGCCCAGATAAAGTCTGGAAAGAAACTCACAAATTCTGCAGAGTCATCAATTTCATCCCTTTTGGGGGAGGACTTTGCCCTGATTAGTTCTGTGAGCTCTGTCACATAACTAGGGCTCAGTTAAGGAAAACGAAGCTCCTACCCACAATCCCCACATTTCTCTAACAAAAAATTATTATGAACACTTTCTTTTGCCCTGGGTCTCCTCTCCTCCACCAAAGGCAGCTAAGTGACAGGGAAGGGGAAACTAACTTGACATCTATTCCCATAAATTCAATGAAACATGGTGATTTGGTCCCTGGGAGGATACTGCAGCTGCTCCAGTGCTTGGTGGTTGATGGTACCCAAGCTGTTGTAGACAAAGGCGCTGCACAGAAGCACAGCCAGGGCAAAGATCCATGAGTCATTCTTAAGGTCACCCTAGAAAGCACATTAGAGCAAGAATTGTAGGCATTTAGAAATTCATTCAGACACTTCTCTCAGCCTTTCATTTATTATTTCAGTGAATATACTTGCCATGCAAAGAAATAAGTTTGAAGACAGACATAGATAGATTTCAGCTTTGACAATTACAAAGACATTTTTCGTGATTGTGATTTCAGTAAAGGTCCTGCCCTCAAAGTATCTTCAGTCCAGTTGAGAAGACCACACAGATGCAGTCAGATTTAAGAAACTATGGGGAAAAAGCAAGTTGGGAAATAGGAAGAAGTTGCACTGCAGTGCAAACGCTAACTTCTGTTAGGTCCATGGGAGCTCTGTGGCTGGGATGGTTCTCTTTACTTAGCCTGAGTTGGGACAAGGGTGCTGATAAATCACTGAAAGGCTGCTCTGGAAGCCTTTCTAATTAAAAGAACCAATTAAAAGAAGTGGCACTTAAAGGCTGTCTTCCATCAGCACTCCCACTAGGTGGGAAAATTTTTCCTTCAAGTGTATAAGGTGATTTGGGCAGCACACCGTAGTTTGCACTGCATACTATTAAGAATAAGGGTGTGTTGGTAGGAAAGAGAAGAAACATCAACTCCATCCCAGGAGAGGAAATACTTCTGATTTATCTTCCAGATGAACTGTGTATTTGAGCTTTGGAGTGAAGAGTTGGGTTTACATTTCCTTTGGTGAAGTTCATCAACTACCCAAAGGGCATTCTGGAAGGCTTTGAGATACCTCTGTATGTGCTGTATGTAGTTCTATAAAAGCCCATGTTTGCAGGTGCCTGGGTGGCGCAGTCATTTGAGTGTCTAACTCTTGGTTTGGGCTCAGATCATGATCTCAAGGTCATGAGAACAAGCCCTGCATTAGGCTCTGCACTCAGCAGTGAGTCTACTTGAGATTCTCTCTCTCCCTCTTCCTCTGCCCCTACCCCCACTTGTAGTCTTGTACTCTCTCTCTCTCTCTCTCTCAAATAAATAAATAATTTTTAAAAAATTAATCAAATAATTCACTCACCATCAAGAAATAAAATATTTTATCTAATATACCATCTCTTATCTAAAAGTGAGAGTCAAACAAACCAGCAGGCTTCATTACTATAGCTGAATTTCTAGATTTTGCAAATAGATCATAGCAGTTAAATTACAAAATATCATGAAGATGTAAGGAGCAAATCCAGAATAAAAAGAACTTATCTGTGACTATTTACCTTACCTTTTCCACATCACCCAGGCCCTCAGTATCCAGAAGGACCAGGGTGTGGTTTGGCTTGGAGGGGTGAGGCACACACCACATCCAGATGCCCTTGGTTTTAAACTGCACTGTAGATCCCAGAGGGAAACCTGCAAGGGGAAGGATGAAGGCAACATATAGTGACAGGAGAGCATCAAAGCAGCCAAAGGGTTACAAAGTCAGACTTTCTGGAATGTAAGTACCCCAGCATACAAGATGGTTCTTTCTCAATTTCCTCAAATGTGTCCTACTTTCTGTGTCATCTGTTTTAAGGAGGAAAACAATTATGCCAGGTAAGTGTTCAAGATAAAGGCAAAGAGACATTCATGAATCAGAAAAAATATGGAGATTATTGAAAACCATGACATTTTGAAAGAATGGTGAGGCACAAAGCCAGAGAACAATGGGGTAAAGAGAGACAAACTACTTTCACAAGATTTCTCTGGTGCTTCCCATTCAGCTCGATATTAACTATTGGTGAAATACACAGGCAGTGAGGAGACCCTTTAAGAATGTAGCAGCCAGCACATATTTGATCTTTATAGAAACTAAGAAGGCTATATAGGTGAATATTCTGGGCTGAAGGTGAATATTTTTCTGCTTCTATCCCTCCTCAGTAGACTTTCAAAAATCTTTATATGTTGATGAGGATATCCCATAAAAAAGCAAATGTGTTTTGAGAGAGGAGGGAGATACATTTATAAGAGCCCAATACTTGATCAGGTTAAAGAAGGTAGGATCCTGAGCATTAGTAGGAGAGATTTTCCTTAACAACAGTAAAATAGTATGATAACATATTAAAATAAGAGTAGTTTAGTACTGAGAATAAGAATTGGAAGGTTAATTTTTTTGAGAGGTGTTTGGTTCTCCTTTCATGTGACCAGGGAAGAAAAGTAGAGATCTGGGATATAGCTAGAGGTAACTGGTTGGCCCCAGACTGAATACAACACTTACCTCGGTTCTGTCCTCCAAGACGATTCATCAAGTAGGATTTGCCTGTACGATACAGTCCTACAATAGCCACCACCACTACTGGTTGAGAAATCTTTTCAAGAATCTGTATAGCTGTTTGGTTCACTGACAGCTGCATATTGTAGTTTTCCACCAGACAAATGGGGGCCGTCATATTGGGTCCAGATGCCATGACAACCTGCCAACCTAGAAAAGCTCCTTGTAGAAATAAGATTACAAAGTCATTCTCTGACTTAGAGTTATCCAAAGCATCCATCAATTTAGGACTAGGTAATTGGAGAAGGACAAACATTATATGGTCTCATTCATTTGGGGAATATAAAAAATAGTGAAAGGGAATAAAGGGGAAAGGAGAAAAAAAAGTGGTAAATATCAGAAAGGGAGACAGAACATGAAAGACTCCTAACTCTGGGAAACGAACTAGGGGTGGTGGAAGGGGAGGTGGGCAAGGGGTGGGGGTGACTGGGTGGTGGGCACTGAGGTGGGCACTTGACGGGATGAGCACTGGGTGTTATTCTGTATGTTGACAAATTGAACACCAATAAAAAATGAATTTATTTTTTAAAAAATTTAGGACTAGGTGAAACTTCTGTGCTTTCTATGGGACAAAGTGTAACCTAGAATTAGCAGACTGCAGAGGGCTTCCTCTGTTATTCCCTAAATCTCTGATATTAGTGATGAAACATAGGTTATTATTATTCTCCCAAATTTTGCTTCAATAGTGATAATAAAATTCAAACAATTGTTACTACACACCAAGGGCCTCCAACATACCAAGCCCTGTGACACATGCCTTACGTACCCAGCCTCACACTTAATGAGAACCTACAAGTTAGAAATTATTGTACCCACATTGCAAATAAGATAAATGAGTCTCACAAAATCTGAGTAAGACATAGAGTCAGGATTAAACCTAGACAGTTGAGCAAAATGGCAAGCTAGGAAGCTCTAAGCTCTTATTTCTTCAGAGATTTCAAAAATAACCAAAATATTGGCTAGAATAATCTCACAGTAGTTCTGTAAAAACAGTCAAATGTCTAAAGCAACCAAGCAAACACACAATCAAGAAAAAGCCATATTAAAAATGGTAGGAAATTCTATGGTATTTTTGCTTGTCCTTGTCCACATATTCCCCAGTGTGGTATAGTCTTGGTCTGTTGGAGGTGGCAACCTAGTTCCCAGTTTTCTCTAACCCAGAGGGAACAGAGCAGACCTTGTTCACAGTGTCTGAGGGATTCCTCTTCAGGTCTCTGTCTCATCTCACATGGATCTCAGGCAGGGGCAGGGGCTGGGAATGTATTGAGATTACCAGTGAAGACATAAAACAGACCATCTTAGGGGCACCTGGGTGGCTCAGTCAGTTAAGTGTCTTGCCTTCAACTCAGGTCATGATCATAGGGTTCTAGGATCGAGCCCTGCATCAGGCTCCCTGCTCAGTGGGGAGTCTGCTTCTCCCTCTCACCCCCCCCACTCACCCCCTGCTGGTTCTCTCTCTCTCTCTCTCTCTCTCTCTCTCTCTCTCTCAAATAAATAAAAACAAAAAGCAAGAAGCAACAACGACAACAAGAAAAAACCCAGGCCATCTTAGACAATAGTTCTGTTCCCACTTACCTCCTTTAGACTGAATGGAGCAGAGCAGTTTGTGTTCATAATGTTCTAATGTGTTCTGAGCTGCCTGAAGGACTGGTCTTTGTTTCATCTAATTTGGATCTTGAACAGGGAGAAGCAATGAGCATTGCCAGGGAAAGCTGCAGGGAGTCTGACCTGCAGACCCCTCTGGCAAAATAGTATGAGCACGTCATATTGTGATTTATAATAAGAAGCATGTATTTGGTCTTTGTCCCTGCTCCTGACACACAGCTTCCAAGTGATGAAAGTAATGGAAGTATCTTCTGTTATACTATTTGTTCTTTTGTCCTTGGTTCCCAAAATAGTTCCAGAGTGAAGACGGTGAAAGAAGTGTCTTTTGTGATACATAACAAGCACCTTTCAACCACACTTATGTTTATGTGACTGAGGTGATTATAAGATACCCTGGATAACCACAGAATGAAGGCTGATTGCCAAGGGAACCAACCCTGTGATTAGAAAGTTGGAATTTTCAGCCTCATCTCCCAACCTCTGGGAAGGGGAGAAGGGCAGAAGGTTGAGTTAATCACCAATGCCCAATGATTTATTCAATAATGCCTTTTTAATGAAAACTCCATTAAGAACCTTAACTGAAAAAAAAAAAAAAAAAAAAAAAAAGAACCTTAACTGAGGGAGTTTAAAGAGCTTCCAGGTTGACAAACATGTGCAGGTGCTCAGAGGGTGGTGTGCCCAGAAAGAGTATGGAAGCTCTACATGCTTTTCTTTTCTTTTTAAAAGATTTTATTTATTCATGAGAGACCCACAGAGAGAGGCAAAGACATAGGCAGAAGGAGAAGTAGGCTCCCCACAAGGAGCCTGATGTGGGACTCGATCCTGGACCCCAGGATCATGCCCTGAGCCAAAGGCAGACGCTCAGCCGCTGAGCCACCCAGGTATCCTACCACATGCTTTTCTTGATACCTTATTATTATTCTCCAGGTTTTGCTTCAATAGTGATAATAAAATTCAAGCAATTTAACTATGCACTGGACCTATATATACCAAGCCCTGTGACACAAATCTCAGATACTTGATACTTTGCCCTACACAACTCTTTTATCTTACTCTTCGGGGTCTTTCTTTCTTTCTTTCTTTCTTTCTTTCTTTCTTTCTTTCTTTCTATAAACCAGTAATCTAGTGAGTTTTTGCAATCCAGTGAGTAATCTAGAGTATTTTTCCTGAGTTCTGTAAGTGATTCTAGCAAATTACTGACTGGGATAGAGATGACAAATATAGCAAGTCAGAAGTACGGGTGGCACTCTGGACGTGAAGTGGTGCCAGTCTTTGGGACTGAGCTCTTAACCTGTGGGGCACACACTAACTTCAGACTGTTCCTGTCAGGATTGCTTACTGTGACAAATTGCCCATACCTGAGGTGACCAGAAGTAAAGTATTGAGAACAGGGTGTTGAGAGAAGAAACAGAATTTTTTCCCTTTTCAGGGTGGGGACAAACAAGAGACCATTGAAGTCTCCAAAGAGAGATTCTGAGGGAAATTAAGACATTTAAAAGCAACATGTATATGGGAAAACCGAAAAAGCCATGTACAAGCTCAGCGAAAATGCATGCTCAGAAAAGATCTGAAACAACTTTAAGATTTCTCCTTAGCTTAATCCTAAGGATCAAGACTAAGACCCAACTAATTAGCAAAAGACATCCTTGGCATAGAACCAGTATTTCCAAAAAATGGAAAAGGTGGCTATTTCTATATATGACCTATTTTCAGCAGAAACAACAAAAAACACAAAGCATACAGAGAAACAGGAAAATATGGCCCATTCAAAGGAAGTAAACAAATGTGGCAGAAAACATAACTGAAGAAACACAAGCGTTGCATGTTCTAAGCAAAGACTAAAGTAATTTTCTTAAGTGTACTAAAAAAGCTAGAGGAAAACACAAAGAACTAAATAAAGTACATCAGGAAAATGATATGTAAAGAAAGTTAGTTCAGTCACAGCATGGTACTGGCATATAGATATGTATAGACCAGTAGAATAGAACAGAGACCAGAAATAAACCCTCCCATATATGGTCAAATGATTCCTGACAAGCACATCAAGATCATTCAATGAGGAAAGCATAGTCTTTACAGAAAATGGTGCTGGGGAGAAATTTGATATTCACATACAAAAGGATGAAATTGGACCATTACTTAAATACCATATATAAAATTTAACTCAAAATATCAAAGACTTAAACATAAGAGAAAAACTATAAACACTCTTGTTAGAAAACACAGGAGAAAACCTCACAACACTGAACATGACAGTGATTTCTTTGGATCTGACACCAAAGGCATGATCAAAATATGAAAAAAATGGCAAATAGGACTTCATAATTAATAATTTTTGTTACTCAACCGAGTAACAAGGCAACACACAGAGTAAGAGAAGAAATTGCATATCACATATCCGATAAGGGATGAATATATATATTAGAATCTATAAGAACTTTTACAACTCAATAATAAAAACAATGCAGTTCAAAAATCGGACAAAGGACACAAACAACCATTTCTCCAAAAAAGATATACACATAGTCAATAGATACATGAAAAGATGCTCAGCATCACCAATAATTATGGGAATGTAAATCAAAGCCACAATGAGTACAACTTTATACCCATTAGGATGGCTATTATATTTTAAAAAATGAAAACAAAAACAGACAGCAAACAACAAGTGCTGGCCAGGATGTAGAGAAATTGGAACCCTTGTGCATTGCTGGTAGGAATGTAAAATAGTCCACCACTGTGGAAAACACTATGGTGTGTTCCCCCAAAATTTGAACATGGAATTACCATTTGATCCAGCAATTCCGTATCAGGGAATATCAAAAGTATTAAAAACAGGAACTCAAACAGATATCTGTACATCAGTGTTCATAGCAGCAGTATTCACAGTAGCCAAAAGGTGAAAATGCCCATCAGGGGATGGATGAATAAACAAAATGTGTCATAAACATACAATGGAATATTTTTCAGCTGTAGGAAGAATGAAATTCTGATACATGTTACAACAGTGATGAACCTTGAAGGCATCATTCTAAGTGAAATAAGCCAGACATGGAAGACAAGTACTGTATGATTTCACTTATAAAAGGTACCTAAACAAACAAACAAACAAAAAAAAAAGGTACCTAAAATAGTCAAATGCATAGAGATACAAAGTAGAATAGTGTTTACCATGGGCTGAAGTTGGGGGGGGATGGGGAGTTATTGTTTGAAGGGTACTGAGTTTCCCTTTGGGATGATAAAAAAATATCTGGAGATGGATAGTGGTAATAGTTGCACAACAGTGTGAATGTATTTAGTGTCACTGAACTGTACTCTTAAAAATGGTTAAAATGGGGGGCACCTGGGTGGCTCCCTTGGTTAAGTGTCTGCCTTCAGCTCAGGACATGATCTCGTGGTCCTGAAATGGAGCCCCACATCAGGCTTTCTGCTCAGTGGGGAGTCTGCTTCTCCTTTTTCCTCTGTGCTCTCTCTCTCTCTCTCTCAAATAAGTAGAATATTTTTTTAAATGGTTAACATTGTAAATTTTATGTTAAAAATTTTTATCACAATTTTTAAGTTTTTAAAAAACAACAACTGGGCAATCTATCTTTCTGTTTCATGCCACTGCAAGCACATATAGGACAGAATATTCTTCCTCAAAGACATTGATTATCCTGTCAGTTCCTTTATCAGTAGGTTAACCTATGGCAGCTTTCTTGTCATGATCACTTATCAAAATGTGTTCTCTAGTGCTTTAGTGTGACCCATGCACTCATCTTTTGTCTGCAGATTGACAAGTGTTGGGAATAGGAGTGGTAAGTAGAATGAGGTCAATCTAAAGAATGTAGCCTCTCTTTCAACCAGCGAAGGCAGGAAAATGTCTCTGAATCTTAAAAGATATAGGCTGAAGTACTTAGCCGAGGTGGGTCAGGTTTTCTGCAAATTACTCTTATGAATGAGAACAAAAATAAATATGCAAATATCATTTTATATTATATAAGGAGACATACACATATATTTAGAGAGATAAAGCAAACCTAGCAAAATATCACCAGTAGATAAATCTAGGTGAATGGTATATGGGATTCTCTTATACAAAATTAAATATTAAAGATACAGTTTTGGTCTCCTGGCATATTTTGATTGCATTAAATTTAAATGGTTTTCTGTAATATTGTGGGATTGTATAAAATTTCTGGACAAAAGAGACTCCATTTTGAAGTTCCATTTTCTTTTCCAAATAAAGAATTCCTTAACTGGACCAGAGTGGTAATAGTTTTCAAGCAATTACTCATAAAATTTCAACAGAGCAACTGGCATTTGGATCATATGAAGACAGTAAAATTAAATGCACACCAGAGGCAATTTTATTTGATAGGACCAATAACATCATCAATAAGATGGTAATCAGAAGTGGCTCAACTAGTCAGCACCAAATTAGTGGGTTTTTTTCTCCTCTTCTTTACCTAAATCGTGTACTTATCCTTTCCTTCTCTCTCATTAACGCCTTGTGCTAGGGCAGCCCCGGTGGCTTAGTGGTTTAGCTAAGCCTTCGGCCTGAGGTCTGGGATGTGGTCCTGGAAACAGGGCGGGGGGGGTGGGGAGATTGAGTCCCGCGTAGGGCTCCCTGCATGGAGCCTGCTTCTCCCTCTGCCCGTGTCTCTGCCTCTCTCTCTCTCTAATAAATGAATGGATAAATCTTTAAACAACAACAACAACACCTTGTGCTTTTCCCACAACGAGCAGGACACTGGCCACTTCGGAATCTGTGCTCCCAAATTACAATTCTGAGACCCCAAATAAAGGCCTCTGTTCTTTTTTAGTTTTACCTTCTTTCCTCCATTGACAATATCTATATGTATTTTTCATAATCAGAATATGTAAACATGCTCTTATATTCAAATGTCTCAAATATTCAGTTCCAAATTTTATGTCACATGTTCAAAATGCATCTAACATCAGCCCTATCATTTATTGCTTTTTGGTGCCTTAAACAAGGAGCTTCACCTAGCTAAACCTAAGTTTTTAAAGATAATTATACAGGTAATGTGAATAAAATTAAAGGTCCAGCCTGGAGGATATTTCAATAATTAAATTAGATGCTGTAAGCTTTTCCCTTAGTATAGCATGCAACACAAAATAGGATTTCAGTGTATGTTTGTTGAATAAACGGACACTAATCTGCAATAATTGCATTGAGCAATTTGGTCCATTGGGCTGTGGATTTCTTTTTTTTTTTCATCTTTAAGATTTTATTTATTTATTCATGAGAGACACACAGAGAGAGGCAGAGACAGAGGCAGAAGGAGAAGCAGGCTCCCTGCAGGGAGCTGGATGTGGGACTCAATCCCAGGACCCTGGGATCACAACCTGAGCCAAAGGCAGATGCTCAACCACTGAGCCACCCAGGTGCCCCTGGGCTATGCATTTCAACACTGCAAACTGTAGATTACTAAAAAACAAGGTCTACAAGTAAATTTTTTTCAGGTCAGAATGGTAAGTAAGTTCAAATACACTGCTCCTGTCCCACCACCTTTTGTCTGATTCTTCAATGTGGGGAGCAAAGAGCACCAAGGTAAAACAGAAGCCTCTGAGCACTGGGTGTTATACTATATGTTGGCAAATTGAACTTCAATAAAAACAAACAACAAAACAAAGCAAAAGAAGCCTCAAACAGCTACCTTATAGTGACTGGAACTGTAAATCCCTTCTTTGTAGGGAAGATTAAAGGAAGCTGAAGGAGACGTAACAGGAACAACTGAACAACTTTATGAAAACAGGTGGTGGTTTCTTACCTGTGAATGAGCCACAGAGCTTTTAACTTCAAATGTACAAAGTGCAGCCATTCAATCCTATTCAGGACTGGTTTTCAAAATTTAAACTACATTAAGAATCACCCGGTGAAATTGTTAAACCCAGACTCTATACATTTAACAAATGGTACAGGTGACTCTGATGTTCCTATGAAAAATACACCAACAAACACCAGAGAGGGGCAGGGAAAAAGAAACAGACGGATTTGACAAAATAGATATTTTTAACTAATAAAGATCAGCAGTGTGGGAACTAAATTTATTCCTGCATTGAGAGTTCTGTAACTCCCAATCTGAAGCTTTCAGATTCAGTATGTATGAAGTAAGTATGACTAGTAGAAATACTAGAAAGAAACTATCTCTTTAGATTATCATTGCCTATCAGCTCCTTGAGGGGCACAGTCTCATTCTGTGAATTCTAAGTGCCCGTCACAGAGCCTGCTAAGAGTCAATCAGGGAGGCTCCCATGAGATTCTTTGCACTCCAGTTGCTGCTGCCCTGAGCTGACATTGTTCCAGAAACAGCACACCCAGGGAGACCTGGTGTGCTTGGCTATCACTTTGCAGCAGCTCCCATTTCAAATGAAGAAGCTGAGCTTCCCCAAAACTAAAGCCAGCCACAGACTCTGGTGGGCCAGACAAAAGGCAACCTGCCCTTCCTGCCCATTCCTCACTGTCACTTGAAATCAGAAATCAAATCTTGAGCTCAAGACAGTGTTGCCAATAAAAGAAGATGTACTTGCCTTCTCTGCAGCACCAGGGGTCCAAGAACAGTTAGCTCTCAGCAGCTCACTGGTTGCTCTCTTGTTCCTTCCACCTTCTATTCCTTTATAAAAGCTGGAAAAAACTGAGCAAGTTATAAATTTCTACCTTCTAATGTGTTAAAACTGAAATTGAAAGTAAAAGTAACTCATGCACCCTGAATCACCAGACTAGAGCATGAATCTGGATATTCAGTACACAGTAAGAGGGCATTGAGAAACCCCACAGTTGCTCAACAGTCAGATCTTAGTAAATTAAATACATTTCATCAGCTTTCTTCTGTCTTCCCCATCTTGGAAGGCTCTGCCGGCTTCACTTCTTTATATGTCTCTCTCAGCTGGCTTAAGTTTCCTTAGAACACAAGAGACATAGAAAATGCACGGCACAGATGTAAGCAAAGTTGTAGAAAGCAAGATTATTTCAATTATGTTTCTCTTAGAGGGACTTCCTGGGTTCTTTTGTCAGTGGAGAGCTTTTAACATTTTAAATATGTTCCCTATTATGTAGTGTCAATGCAAATTGAACAAACCTTTTAGAATTTCCTTGTTTTTCTTGACTGATACGTTTATTTTTGCTATTTTTATAATTTTTAATTCCAGTGGGGTAAACATACAGTATGATATTAGTGTACAATATAGTGATTGAAAAATTCCATATATTACTCAGTGCTCATCAAGACAAGGGTACTCTTAATCTTCTTCACCTATTTCACCCAATCCCTACTCCCCTCCCCTCTGCTATTAGTTGGTTCTCTATAGTTAAGAGTCTGTTTTTTGGTTTGTCTCTTTTTTTCCCTTTGCTCATTTGTTTTATTTCTTAAATTCCACTTATGAATGAAATCATATGGTATTTGTCATTCTCTGGTTTATTTTACTTAGCATTATACTCTCTAGATGCATATGTGTTGTTGCAAATGGCAAGATTTCACTCTTTTTATGGCTGAATAAGATTCTATTCTATGTATATACCACCTCTTCTTTATCCGTTCATCTGTTGATGGACACTTGGGTTGCTTCCATAATTTGACTATTGTAGATAACACTGCAATAAACATAGAGGTGCGTGTATCCTTTTGAATCAGTATTCCGGTATTCTTTGGTTAAACAGCCAATAGTGCGACTACTGGATCATATAGTAATTCTGTTTTTAACTTTTCAAGAAAGTGTCATTTATTATTTCTGCTATTTCATTTCTGATTTTATGTGAGTCCTCCCTTGATTTTTGTGAGTTCAGCTAAAGGTTTATCATTTTTATTGATCTTTTCAAAGAACCAGCTCCTAGTTTCATTGATCTGTTCTATTGGTTTTTTTTAGTTTCTATTTCATTTATTTCTGCTCTAATCTTTATTATTTATTATGTATTATTTCCTTTCTTCTACTGGTTTTTGTTGTTCTTTTTTTAGTTCCTTTAGGTGTAAAGTTAGGTTGTTCATTTAAGTGTTTGTTGTTTTTTGATTTTGAGGTAGACCTGTATTGCTATAAATTTCCCTCTTTTTTTTTATTTTATTTATTTATTTATTTATGATAGTCACATGAGAGAGAGAGAGAGAGGCAGAGACACAGGCAGAGGGAGAAGCAGGCTCCATGCACCGGGAGCCCGACGTGGGATTCGATCCTGGGTCTCCAGGATCGCGCCCTGGGCCAAAGGCAGGCGCTAAACCGCTGCGCCACCCAGGGATCCCTAAATTTCCCTCTTAAAACCACTTTTGGAAGCACCTGGGTGGCTGAGTCAGTTAGGAGTCTGCCTTTGGCTCAGGTCATGATCCCAGGGTCCTGGGATCAGTCCGGCATCAGGCTTCTTGCTCAGTGGGGAGTCTCTTTTCCCTCTCCCTCTGCCCCTCCTTCCTGTTTATGCATTCTCCCTCCCTCTCTCTCTCAAATAAATAAAATCTTTAAAAATAAAAATTTTTTTTTTGCTGCATCCCAAGGATTTTGGACTGTTGTGTGTTCTCATTTTCATCCATCTCTGTATATTTTTTAAATTTCCCTTTCGATTTCATGCTTGACCCATTCATTATTTAGTAGTCTGTTATTTAACTTCTATGTATTTGTGTTCTTTCTAGACTTTTTTCTTGTGGCTGATTTGTAGTTTCGTAGTGTTGTGGTCAGAAAAAATGCATGGTCTGACTTTGAACTTTTTGAACTTGTTGAGACTTGTTTTGTGGATTAACAGGTGATTGGTTCTGGAGAATGTTCTATGTGCACTTGAAAAGACTATGTATTCTGCTGTTTTAGGATGGATTGTTCCGAATATACCTGTTAATCCATCTCATCCAAAATGTCATTCAAAGTTACTGTTTCCTTGTGACTTTCTTTTTAGATAATCTGTCCATTGTTGTACGTGGGGTGTTAAAATCCCCTACTGTTATTGTATTACTATCAATTACTTCCTTTGTGTTTGTTATTAACTGCTTTATGTACTTGGGTGCTCCCATGTTGGTTGCATAAATTCTTATAATTGTTATATCTTCTTGTTGGAGTGTCCCCTTAATGATTATATAGTGCCCTTCTTTGTCCCTTGTTACAATCTTTGTTTTAAAGTCTTTTTTTCTGGTAGAGGTATTGCTACCTCAGCTTTCTTTTCATACCATTTGCATGATAAATGTTTCTTCATCCTCTCACTTTCAATCTGCATGTGTCTTTAGATCTGAAGTGAATCTTTTGTTGGCAGCCTTTAGGTGGGTCTTGTTTTTTTATACATTCTGTCACCCTGTCTTTTGATCGAAGAGTTTAGTCCACCTACATTCAAAGTAATTATTGAGAAGTATGTATTTATTGGCATTTTGTTGCTTGTCTTATGGTTGTTTTTGTAGTTCTTTCCTGTTCCTTTCATCCCTTGCTCTCTTGTGATAAATTGACTTAAAAATTTTTTTTATTGATTTGAGACAAAGAGAGAGCACGAGAGGAGGGAGGGGCAGAGGGAAAAGGAAAGCAGACTGCCCTGCTGAGCAGAGAGCCCAACATGGGGTTTGATCACAGGACCCTGGATCATGACTTGACCTAAAGTCAAATGCTTAACTGACTGAGCCACTCAGGTGCCCCAAAGGTGACTTTCTTAAATGAGACTCTTAGATTCCTTTCTCTTTATTTTTTGCATGTCTTTTACTGGTTTTTCATTTTTGGTTACTATTAGGTTTGTATATAACATCTTCTGCCTATTGAAGTCTATATTAAAAAAATAAAATAAAAATAAAAAACAAAAAAGTCTATATAAGTTGATGGTTGCTTCAGTTTGAACCAATTCTTTATTCCTCTCCCCTCCCCATCTATGTTTTAGGTTTATGCTGTCATACTTACATCCTATTATTTTATGAGCCCCTAGACTGATTTTTACAGAGGTACTTTTCACTGCTTTTGTGCTTCCTCCTTTTGTTACTCTTATGATCTTTCCTTTCCCCTCAAGGAGTCCCCTTTAATATCTTGTAGGGCTGGTTTAGCATTCATGAATTCACTTTTGTCTGGGAAACTCTTTGTTTCTCCTTCTATCCTGGATGATACCCTGCTAGATAGAGTACTCTTGGTTGTAGATTTTTCCTTTCAGCACTTTAAATATATCATACCACCCCCTTTTGACTTTCAAAGTTTCTACTGAAAAATCTGCCTTATGAAATCCCTTATATGTAACTGTTTTCTTTTCTCTTACCACTTTTAAAATTCTTTCTTTATCACTACTTTGTGCCATTTTTAATTACTCTTTGTGTTGGTGTGGACCTCTTTGGATTGACTTTTTTTGGGAAAATCTCTGTGCCTCTTGGATCTGGATTTCTGTTTCCTTCCCCAGATTTAAGAAGTTTTCAGCTATTATTTCTTTAAATAAAGAGTCTGCCCCCTTTTCTGTCTCTTCTGCTTCGAGATCCCTATAATGTGAATGTTATTACAATTGATGGAATTGCTCAGTTCCCTAAGTCTATTCTTATTTTGCATATTTTTTCCTCTTATCTGCTCAGCTTGATTACTTTCCATTACTCTGTCCTCCAGTCATTGATTGGTTCTTCAGCTTCCTCTAATCTACTGTTTATTCCGTCTAGTGTATGTTTAATTTCATTTATCATATTCTTCATCTCTGATTTGTTCTTTTTCATCTCTTTGTTAGGTCTTGCTGATGTCCTCCATGCTTTCCAAAGTCCAGTGAGTATCATGATACTGCTTTAAATTCTCTATCAGGAATATTGCTTATCTCTGTTTTGCTTAGGTCTCTTGCTGTGATTCTGTCCCGTTCTTTCATTTGGGACATAGTCCACTCTCTCCTCATTTTGTATGACTCTCTGTGTCTGTTTCCATGTGTTAGGAAAGTCAGCTACATCTCCTATTCTTGAAAGTATTGACCTTATGAAGAAAAGGTCCTATAATGCCCTGCAGTGCAATGTCCCCTGTTCTTCAGAACCTGACACTTCAGGGGTATCTCTCTGTATATTGCATTTATTCTGCTATTGTGGCTGAGTCATCTGCATTGCCTATGGTGGGCAGTGTTTGGTCCCTCTGGTGTTAGTGGGCCAGTGTGGGGACACCTGGGGCTTGAGTTGACTCAGACCAGGCATTTGCCAGAAATGGAGTTAGTGCCAAACTGCAAGATACTTTCCCTGAGAAATTTTCACTGGTAGGTGGAGCCTACAATCAAACCAGCTGTCTGCTCCCAGCCTACTGCTGGGGCCTCAGTCTGACTGGTATGGTTATCTTTCCTCTACCCAGGGCAGGAGTCACTTTGGAGTGGTGGTGGCCCCTGTTGAGGCAGTTTGCACACTGCCAGGCTTATGGCCTTGGTTTGGATGGGCTTTGGCTAAGAGCATATTAGAGGAAGCAGATCCACACAGCACACAGGGGCAGGGCACACAGTCTTAATAAGATTTGGGTGGGTGGATACAGTGTTGCCAAGATTTGCACCCATCTTATGGGAGAGGGAAACTGCAGCACCAAGACTGAGGCAGAACTGTCTCTGGAAGGGGCAGATCTACCAAAACATGGGGCAGAGGAAAGAGAGATGGAGACCTGGTTGCTTTGTTATCAATTAGGTAGGAGTATAAGCACTGTGCTGGTTCCCATAGGTACCCACGTATTTATGCTGGGGGATAGGGGAGGGAAATGGCCCCTGCCTGCTCCTTTGTTCCTGG